TCGATGCTCTCGAAATCAATCTAGACTTGAATCTCATACTCAAAACAAAACCAACAACGCAAGAAATGAAGTGAGTCGAGAACTTGAAGAGTCAAGAAGCTTCTGAGACCATAACCACAAGTCCTTTCGAGGGTTTCGATGAAAGTTTTAAGGTCAATAAGATATTAAGAGAGAGTAAAAAGATGTGAGATTTTGGAGATGATTGAATTGGACTCTGTTTCAAGCTCAAGAAGAGCGTTAATGACAGATAGATGATGGATGGTCAAAGTTTATTTTTTAAATTTTTTATTTTATGATTTATTTAAAAATGATAAAAATTTCACGTAATTTATTCGAATAATAAAAAATTTTCACATAATATAAATTTAAAATATTATCTATCATGTCACAATAGAATTTATTATTAATTCAGACATTTTAATAGATGAGAGATCACATTGACACACATTTAAATAATTAAAATTTTGATTGAAATTTTTTAAAATTTAAAAATTAAGATAAAATTTGATCTAAAGTTTAAAAAATCATGCTCGCTATTAACTATAAATAATAATAATAATAATAAGTTTGGGCTATTGAAAGCCGTTCCTTTGCTAAATCATGTTCAAAAGACCGGTGATCCAAAATCCCTGCATGTTGTTAGCTGTAAAACTCGATCTATTAGCTGGTCTAGCCAGTAATGTGTATTTGTTTTTTTTTTTCTCCTTTTTTTAAAAAAATTAAATATAAAAATTATTTTTTATACTATATATTTCCTGTTATTTTGATGCTTAAAAGAAATAAAAATTATTAATTTGTTACTCAAATTTTTATTCAGATATTTACTTTTTGGTACTGACAATTAATATTATCAATCAACTTACTTATACGACATAAATATCCAATAAAACATTTATATGTGTTAAAAAAATTTAATTAATGTCACATCATCAATTATCATGACAAAATTAAAAATTTTTCAAAAAAATAAAAAAATAAAAAAGTGAAATATTTTTGAAAAATTATAAAAATTTAAAAACTGCAATATTTTTAAAATTAAAAAATTAAGAAAACTTTTAAATTTAAAAAAAAAAGTCTAAAATTTTTTTAAAAATAAATATTTTAATAAAAATAACTATTTCTTAAAATTGAATAAAAGATTCGAAAAAACTTTTAAAAGTTGGAAATAAAAAAATCCTAAAATTTTTAAAAAATCTATTTTTTTTTTAAATTGCAACAATTTTTTTAAAAAAATTCTTACAATTTTTCATTTTTTTAATCTTACAATTTTAATTTTTATATATTTTTGAAATTTCATATATTTTTTAATTTTATTGATTTTTTATTAAAATTTTAAGTTTTTTACTTTTTATTTTTCAGTAAATATTTTTAGTTTTTTTTACTTTTTTATTACGTTTTGGATTTTTAAACATTTTAAAATTTTTTTAAAAATGTTCAGAATTTTTTGAAAAATTTTATAATTTTTATTTTTTAAGTTTTTGTGAATTTTTTAAATTTTAAGAAAATTTATTTTTACTAAAATTTTTTATTTTTTTAATTTCCCAAAATTTTTTTATTTTTATTAAAATTTTAGATTTTTTTAATTTTAAAATTTTCATAATTTTTAAAAATATTTTAAATATTGTAATTTTTTATAACTTTCTACAATATTTTAGATTTTTAAAATTTTTTAATTCTTTTAATGTTACTATGATAATTGATGATATAATAGTAATTGATGTATCTCAACATCTTATTAAATATTAATGTCATGTCAATAAATTGACTAATGATATTAATTTAAATTATCAAATCAATAATAAAATATAAATATAAATATAAAATTAATAATTTTATTTCTTTAAATATTAAACTACCAAAAAATATATACTATATAAATACTGTTTATATTTAACCCTTTTTAATTCTACAGCTCTTACGGATGTCAAGTCACAAGGGAAATCTATACAGGTAAAAGATTTATCTATCAAACTCATCTTGTTCTTAATTTTATTTTTGTGTGTGTGCTTTTTCAAAAAACTTATGTATTAGATAATTCCTTCAGTAATTTATTCAAAAAATAAATAAATAAACTTAAGTATGTACTAGAAAAAGACGGAAAAAGGTACAAAAAAAGGCTTGTTATTGTAATAAATTGGTCGTCTATCTAGGTATTCAATAACCAGCAACCAAATTGATTTGTATAATCACCCCACATGCTGCTTGAAGCTGCAGATGGCAGCCGAGTTGGATGATTTTGTTGTGATCTTGGCCATTAGTACCCTAGGTTTCATCTCCCTGTGTAATCCAATCCTCGGTTTTATCAAATGGGTTTGGATTATGTTCTTCAGGTCACCAAAGAATCTCAAGGACTACGGTTCATGGGCTATAGTCACTGGCTGTACTGATGGGATTGGGAAAGCCCTGGCGTTTCAACTGGCATCAAAGGGTCTTCACTTAGTCTTGGTTGGGCGAAACCCTTCAAAACTTGAAGCTACCTTAAATGCTATACATGAAAGATTTGGTGCACAAGTCGAAACCAGAAACGTTGTCATCGACTTGGCTAAATCCAGTGGAGAAGAGATATCCAAGACGATGAAGGATGTTATCAGAGGGCTAGACATTGGTGTTCTTGTAAACAACGCAGGCTTGGCCTACCCCAGTGCCAGATTTTTCCATGAGGTCGATTCGGAGTTGATGGAGAGTATTATAAAGGTGAATATAGAGGGAGCTACCTGGATTACTAAAGCAGTGCTTCCGGTTATGATGAAAAAGAAAAAAGGGGCGATAGTCAATGTTGGCTCTGGTTCCTCTGGTGGCATCTGTTCTTACCCGTTATACACCATTTATGCTGCTACCAAAGCGTAAGTTAATTTCTCTCCTCTTTTACTTTAATGGGTCAACTTGGGTGTCTGAAAAAAACATATTGATTTGAATGCTCCCTGTAAAAGTCCTTTGATGGCTTGAAACTTACAAGCATCCCAATAGCTCGAGTCTAAAGATCTGATTATCTGATGTGACTTGTCAATTACCATTTTTAATTTAAAAGAAAGGATGATATGAAATGATTACTCCACATAACTGAAGATAGATCTGCTTCCAGTCTGATCGTTTCATGGGTTTTTGTTACCTGTAATCAGCTATCTTCATTTCATCTCAACCAGATCTAGCAAAAGACAAGATTGGAAGTGAGTTGATTACACCTAATTCTATTTATCCAAGAGTGGTATTCCAAGCCTAATTGGCTTTTTACGCACCTTTTTCCAATAATGCTTTTCCACTTTGTTCCACTTACTAAAATATCAGAATTATCAGGTTATCAAATGTTACTTGTATATCATTGAAGCGTTTACGTCCTTGTTGCATGCAGAAGAAGAAAACCATTTCTTAGCTTGCTTGTGTCTTTAAGAAAACATATAGTTGGAGAAAGGTTTTTTCTTCCTTGTCTTTGGATTTTTTTATTATTTGCTTAGACAGAACAAAAAAACTTTTCCCTTCTTACATACGCTGCGAAGACTGTGCAATGACATTTACGGTTGTTTTTCGAAAAATTTTTAATTCCGAATCCTTGAAATAAAAATGGAAATAAGGAGGCTAGCAGTTGGTAGCACTTGGGCTAGAAGAATTAGTTACTATTGGACTAATGCAATCAATGAAAAGAGAATAAATGAAGAAAGTTAGGTAAGCCACTTATAGGTAGCTTTCATTAGTGTAATAGTTTTCCCACTATAGTGCAAATAAACTCTTGGAAACATTATCTTCAGGAAACAATGCCTAAACGAAGAGAATCAACATTACACTTTAAGAATCTCTTGAACACATGAATCATAAACCGAAAAGAGAGATCGAGAGAGAATAATTTTATATTTGAGAGATTGAATGTAAAAGTGTTTTGAAATGAACGATTATAGAAGTATTTATAAGCTTTAAAAGATGTTTGAAACACCTCTTCATGAACATATATGACTGGAATAAAGAATCATCACTTTTGGAATAAAACATATCCCACAGACATATTTTTTGAATTCCAGATAGGGAAGCATTATTCTTCTACACTAATACATACTACATGAATTCTAACTTTGAAATCTTATAAAACACTTAAAACACTTCAGAAAAGATACTTTATTTGGTAATAATGTACAATAGTCATGACTCAAGAGAAAGCTTAGCTAAACTCTAAAATAGTAACATCCCCTCAAACAGGCCTCTATTTAAGCTTGCACATCTTTTGGGAACAAACAATGAAATTTGTAGGATTACTATGTTATTATGTAAGAAGAACAATAAAAGGAGCCGTTGATTGCAAAATTTGTCAATTCAAGGTAATATGACATCTGTGTGCAGGAAAAAATTTAGTCTTTTTTAATACTAACTCTCTTTTATGGCATGTCAAATTCACCAGAGGACCTGTTTCATCCCTTTGCTCAAGTACTTGATATGAATTTCCCTACAATAACTAATTCACATATCACAGATACCTTGCAATGTGGTCAAGAAGCATCAACTTGGAATACAAGAAAAACGGAATCGATATTCAGTGTCAGGTAATTTGATGAGGTTTCGAAATAGACCTGCATTGCTTCTAAAAGGAATTATGCAATCTATTTTTCCAGTGATATTGGTTCAGTCTTATATTGTTGTTGATGCCACTGCAGATTTAGCGGTCAAGATTGTATTCCCCTTTACTATTTTTTCTTTGATCATTAATATTTTGTGTGTTGGCTTTTGAGCAAGTCAGATTCCATTGTTTGTGGCCACAAAGATGTCAAGGTTAAAGAGAGCTTCCTTATTCATCCCATCACCAGAAATGTATAGCAAAGCAAGCTTACGATGGATTGGTTATGAGCATCTGTGTGTACCTTATTGGCCACATTCTGTGCAGTGTTCCATAATGAATGCATTGCCAGATGCCTTGAAGGATCAATGGCTTTTCAATTACTTTCTTGGGATGCGGAAGAGAGCGCTGTTAAAAGACTCAGAAATTCAGAGCAAACATGATCCAGAATACCACAAATCCTTGAGTTGGCTCTTTGACTGCATGTAGGTGTATCATGTCAAAAAAAGAAATTCCCTGTATTTGCAAGTAGGGTTAAAAGAAATTGATAATAAGCACTTAGATGGTCAAATCTTGCTGCAATAACTTAAAAATAGAAACTGCGTGTTCAAAATTCAGTTGTAATGTCTTTCGTTTTTTGGTTTAGTTGCCGAGGAGATTTTATGAGGATATAGAGGCCTTGATTTTGAATTAGGATCTCCTCTCCTTTGAATTCAAAAAAAAAAAAAATTCGATTTTAATTGAAATAATCGATTAAATTGATTTAATTTGATTAATTAATCAATTATTGAATTAATTTCAATTGATTATAAAAAATAATTTTAAACAAATTTTTGTTTTTGGTTAATTTAGTTCAAAAATCGAATTAATCAAATTTTAATTAAAATATAATAAAACTTATACATTAAACTAAAGGTATATAAAATTGCTCAATTTCAGTTATTAAAATTTTTAATTTAATATTATGGTATTTGAATTTTTTTAATAATTTTATCTAATTTGTTTTAAAAGTAAAATATTAAGAATTTAAAATATAATTTAATTTAATATATTTTATTATTTAATTAATTAAAAAAATTAATCTAATTAATTTCGATTAATTAATTTTTAAAATTAAAAAAATTTATTTAATTAATAAAAATAATATAATATAATTTGATTAATTTAATTTTAAATAATTCAATTTAAAATTAATTAAACAAATCAAATAAACACCTCCACCTGAATCTTTATTGAATGTAAATAACTAGGCTGGTGCTCGACAATTCAATAATGGAAATTGCTTATTTCCCTTTACCAAAATTCCATTTGATCTGGTTTTGGAGCTTTGATTTTTTTTTTTTGTATTTAAAGTATTTAAAATTTGATTTTTCATTATTAAAATTAAAAAATCGAACGATCGGCAGGTAAGCCTACAATTATAAGCAATAGCATTGGCAGTCTCATTAGTCCTTTTGGCGACGAACATTGAATGCTACATTGAATGCTCCGATACCTCGACGTACGTCAACTACAGTTGGGTGGCTGGCTGTTAAACTAACTATTGTCCTTTTCAACCTAAAGGCGTCATCAATTCTATTGATGATTTTCCTTCCACGATACATATTTTAGATTTTATTTTTATGATCTTTTTAATGAATAAAAAAGACAATTCGAATCCAAGATAAGATAAAATTTTTATATATTTTATTAAAATTTACTAAAATTATAAAATTTTATTTGTATTATATTAAAATAAAAATTAAATTATTAATATTTATTATTAGTATCATATAATATTAATAAAACTATTACTTTAATTGCGTGATGATTTATGATGGTTGTGGATTGTGCAGTGCTGGGCATTGAAAGGATGGTTCGAGGTGGGGTTGTGGAGAGTGGCCGTACCGGTGGTTCGACTATGGCCCCTCCATCCCTCGTCCTCATGATTTTTGCTCAACTTAATATATATATATATATATTTATTTATTGGGATCCACGGGGATATTTGACAGCAAGTGATGATAGAAGAGAAGAGGAGGATGCAGGGTATAGGGTGGTTCAGCAGGAGTAAGGTGGCTGTAGGAGGTTGGCAGTGTGTAGAGTGGCTACTGATATATAGTATATATATTTATTATTGAATCAACTTAAATATTATATATAATCTTTTTTAATTTTAAAAAAAAGAGTTTAAATACGTCATTAAAGGTGAAATATGTAGACTATCATTTGATAAAATAAATTTAATTTTATCAACAAATAATTTATTTAATTAATAAAAATATTATTTTTAACGTAAAAATTTTGGATGATTACTTATTAAAATTATTTTAAATACATAATTTTTAATCACTTATTTTAAATTTTTATATCTGTAATATATTTTATCTTAATTTAATAAATTAAATAATTTATGTCTCTTGATTTTTTTAAGAAAACAAATCCAATTCCACAACAATTAATTGAGTATATTTTAATACTAGAGAATGTTATAATAAAACAAAAAAAAAAGGCTAAACAAATAGTAACAAGGTTTAAGAAATGAATAGGAAAACAGAAGAAATAAAATAGAAGTAAAGGAAAGAACAGCCAAAACCGGACACAGTAAGATCTCCCACGTTTCAGTTATGTCTGTCATCATCAGTAGTTAATGAAGGCTGTTTTCAGCTTAACAACAATCTTCCTTTTTCCTTCTCAAAAATCAATCCTTACCTTTCTTTTCTAATTTCCTTTATTTAATTCCAGTGCCCCCCCCCAACCTGGGTCTGTTTCTGCCCACCTTTTTTTTTTTTTTTTTCTGTAGTCCTTAGCTTCTTTAATTTCCACATCTGTTTCTTGATTTTCACAGTCAAAGCCATACGGCCCATACCCAACTACGAACAGGTTTGCTAAAGATTTTCCTTTTTGATCACTCTATTTATATCCCCTTAGGTCTCTTTCTTTTTTGTCATATTCACCTTTCACAAAAGTTTCAAACTTTTTCCTCTGCATAATCCATGGCAACCTGTTTCTTCGATACTCTCAAGACTCAACCGCCCTGGATTCTTGTTCTTTTCACGTTGGGTTCTTTGTCACTCTTGAGATCTTCATTGGTTTTTCTTAAATGGGTCTGGGTCAATTTCCTTAGACCTGGTAAGAATCTCAAGAAATATGGCTCCTGGGGTCTTGTAACAGGACCAACTGACGGTATCGGTAAAGGTTTTGCCGTTCAGTTAGCTAGGAAAGGGCTTAATCTTGTCTTGGTTGGTCGTAATCCTGATAAACTCAAAGATGTTGCTGATTCAATCTTGGCTAAACATGGGAAGATTCAGATCAAGACAGTTGTTGTGGACTTCACTGGTGATCTTGATGAAGGTATGAAGAAGATAAAAGAAGCTATTGAAGGATTGGATGTGGGGGTTTTGATTAATAATGTTGGGATTTCATATCCTTATGCAAGGTTTTTCCACGAGGTTGATGATGAGCTGTTGAGGAACTTGATTAAGGTTAACATTGAAGGTACAACTAAGGTTACTCAGGCTGTTTTGCCTGGGATGGTGAAAAGAAAGAAAGGTGCAATTGTGAATATTGGCTCTGGTGCTGCTATTGTAATCCCCTCTGATCCACTTTATGCTGTTTATGCTGCTACTAAGGCGTAAGTGTTTGCCTTTTGCTAAGTTAATTGGAGTTTGATTTATTGTTTTAGCAACTAAAGGTGATCTTTTTGGGGATTTTTTTTCAGGTATATTGATCAATTCTCAAGGTGCCTTTATGTTGAATACAAGAATAGTGGAATTGATGTCCAGTGTCAGGTACTGTTTGCTATACTTTAGTGTTTGATTCATGTGGTTATAACTTGGAAGTCTCGGAGTTATAAATCTAGAGTTTAAGGCTTTCTGCATGAGACTTGAATGTTTTAAGCGCTTCACCTCAGCTTTAGTCGATAGTGAAGGTAAATGGTGAGACTCTAGATAAGGATTTTTATTATTTCAAATTGTGATTACTTGAGGGATATCTTCCTCATTTTGTCATTTGTTAGAAACATCTGGCCATTAGTAATCTATGATTCAATATTGAATATCTTTGGCTCTTTCATCTCAAATTACCACCGTATAAAAATTACAGGTAGATCTTTACTCAAACAACTTGATTTGCTAATATATAGTCTTAGGACTCTTGTTCTGTGACAGATTTTTATAATGAATGTAAGCCATGCAATCTTTTTGTCTTGATTAGAACAGATATGTATCTCGTATTCTTCTTGCAAAAGGCATTTTATTTTATCTAGTTGACCAAAAATGTCCACAAGTTTGATTTGCTTCTTGAACTTACTATTGCCAATATATGATGTTATTTAGGAAACCGGGGATATTATATTGTTCATATTAGCTAATTTCTTCGGGGAGTAGAAAACGTTTACTGTTTTGGACCCTATAATTATTTCGATCACTTTTACTCTCTTTTGTATTGTGTGTTAGTGTTATGCAATTGTGCTTGCACTACAAGATGGTTCCATATGTGAGACAATTATATAGTTTTTGAAAATTCTATTATTTGCTTTTGTGTTATGAGTTTAATCAGTGTTATCGACACCAAGCAAATTGCTAAGTCTCTATATATTGAATAAGATCGCTGATATGACAATGTTTTTATGTTTTTTTTTTTTTTTTTTATGGTGAAAGCACTCAAACATGCATGCAATGTTGTCATCAATAGATCATCAATTCTCACATCAGATTTTAAGATACTTTTTCACCCCCCAACTCATTATACCTTTCTGAGCTTACTACTTCTTTTTGATATTAAATTCTTTTGATCAGTGGTTCTTAATCTCCCTTTCCTTTTATCTGCCCAAATTTCTTTGATTTCCTCCTCTCCCCCTCATACTTTTAGATGAGTCAAATGATTTCTATGGTAATATGGATGTGCTGAGGATGAAAAGCAAGAGTAGGACCTGCCACCAAAACTGAATGCATTTGTGATGATGGTGATTTTGTTATCATATGAACCAGCTGAGCAAATATTAACAAAATTACTTTCAGTGTTGACATCTAAGGTTACTTTGTGTTCCATTGGAAAAATAAAGGGGACGGTCAATGTTCAATATTGGTACAATTAATAGAGAAAAGTTGAACTTTTAGGAATTTAAGTATTTTGGAAGGTTGACAAAAGCTGTAGCTCAAAAAATTTTGTATCTTTATCACCAATACTCTTGGGTGACTTAATTTTCTCAAACATCAAGAGCTGCTAGACTCTGAGTTGACGACCCTTTTTTTTTTTTCCTTTTTGGGTGATGACATTCTCTGATCAGTCAAGGGGTTTCTTGATGCAGGTTCCATTATACGTAGCAACAAAAATGGCATCAATCAAAAGATCCTCTTTCTTTGTTCCTTCAACAGATGGTTATGCTCGAGCAGCAATGCGGTGGATAGGCTATGAACCTCGTTGCACACCCTACTGGCCCCATTCCATCCTCTGGGGCTTGGCTTATTCACTGCCGGAGAGTGCGGTTGATGCATGGCGTTTTGGCTTTTGTCTTGGCATCCGAAGGAGGGGGCAACTCAAAGATTCTAGGAAGAAGGAATAGGAAAACACTATGTTGAGTCTGTTCTAGTTTCTGTTCTTGGAATTGAGAGTTGTCTAGGATGAGTATTTGGCAGGCGCTTTTTCTGTTTTTTCCCATGTCTATTTTTAAAATTTAATTATTACTCACTTGATAAATTTGTTTTTAAGCATGGCATTGTGACCGTTCCATTATGTGTGGATGCTTTGGAAGGATAAATATGAAAGTGGAGACATCTGAACCACTTCTTGCATTTTGCTTTCCTTCATATAATTCCCTTGCAAAAAAATTTTGGCCCTGATTTCCTCTACGTCTTTATCTTTAGTTTCAACCCATTACCCACGTTGTAAGATCTCAATGTCAGCATCACAAGTGGAAATTCTCTGTCTATCTATCTATCTATATATATATATATATGTGTGTATATATATATATATACGTATGTGTGTGTGTGTAAATTATGATATGAGCAAAATAAATATCTGAGTAGTTATCTAATAACTCCATCTATGAGATATCACACTGTCAGTCCCAAGCTGGGAAGCTGGTTTATCTTGATAGTCAACATAGAACATAATCAAACCATGAGGAGTAGGTGTGCCAATACGATGGCAGAGTCATAGAAGTTAGAACAGGAAATTGGAATCCTAACCCAATTTCCAATTTAAATGGGTCGGATTTAAGAAGCCCAAATTCAAATGGAAAACAGGCCTATTGCCACCGTCGCTTTCATTCATCTGGTATATAATGACGTGAACTTCTATTTAAGACGACAAGACAGGCTTCACCATTCTCCTATTCTCGTATGCCGTCATAAAAGCAAAAGAGGATTGTTCCTCTTCTACACAAACAGAACGACTACTTCGTCTTCTTGTTAAACTCGAAACCCTTTTTGAGTTCTGGGTCGCTGCCTTAAACGGAAATGGAAAAACCGAATTCTACCTCCGGTTCCGGTGTTTCCAATGTCTACAATACTGTTTTCATTGATACCAGCCTCGAGACCCACCTGGCCATGATCGTCTCGGACTCCGACACTGTTTCTGATCTGAAAAGTCAGTTACTTTCTCCTTTTTTCCCTCTCAATTTTGATATATTGTCTTTTGGTTACCAACTGTCTAAGGAAATTTTATTGCTTTGCTTTTTGAAGCTAATAATGTATTTCCTTTAAATTTTCAAAGGTTTTTTTTTTTGTATGAATGTTATACGAAATCAGTTGCATGCTGAGCAACATTATGCGTGTGACTTTGTGGGCCTTTTATCAATGATTTATTCAATGCCAATTCAGAGGTTTCTATTTTTTAGTCCACACACTATTTTCATCCATTTGAGACCTCAAAGATCACAACTTGACTAACAAATTATGGAAAATTCCCCTGGAATGGACCTAAAATTGGGTTACAAAAATAGCTAGAGTTGTTTAAATGGATGAAAAATTGCGTTGGTGTCACCAGGAGGTCCCTTGAATGTTTGAACGGGAAGTAAAGTATCAATGTTATGATATGTCAAATGGATGGGTGTTACAGATGATTTTGCTTTGTCCTTTTTTTTTTTTTCACCAACACAAGGTGTTATTGTGGATGGAGGATCTTTTCCGACACAAATCCTCGAACCAAAGTTCTTTCTCTCAAACTTTTAGTGACTGATATATCAACTTCAGTTTTAAGATCAACTGGTTGTATTTTAAAGTTCTGTTTTAGCTAGTGATAACTTTGTGCTGCTGATGTGCAGAAAAGATACTTTATGAACACCCATTGTGCTTTCCTAACATTGGGGAGATAAATATTAATGCCTTAAAGGTATGATGCTGTACTTGCACTTCTTGGTTGCTAGGATGTTTACTGTTGATTAAAATATTACATTGAAATGGCTATGTAAACTTGAACAGGTAAAGCGCAAAGGATATCTTTATCACCTTTCAGATTCCATGTTTGTAAAAAGTGCTTTTGTTGGAGTGAGCAAAAGTTGGTTTCTATCTGTTGATGCCTCAAGTGCAGAAGAGCACAGAGAAAATCATAATTCCCACAAACCTGATACTGGCAACGTTGTAGCCTGTTTCGGTATCACAACTAATAATTCTTCAGCTGATGTGGTTGATCTTCTACCTGGTGGTACATCCAAAAGATTGTCCAACATCAATGATGCATCATTGCCTCAAGATGGAGGCAACCGACATGCAAAACAAAATTCTGCATCTCAACAGCTTGGTTTTAGTAATTCCGGCAAAGAAAATTCAGAAGATTTGCATATGGAAGTTGACCATAAGGCTGATAGTAATTCTAAGGTTTTGTTCCCTGCTACCAATGAGGAGCGAAGGCCAAAGGTACAGTTGAAAGATGTTGGAGATGACAAAATATGGGAAGATCTACCAGCTGCTATAGCTGCATCTGTTTTAAAGGAAAAGCACAAAACTAAGAATAGAAACAAAGATGCCATCCGTGATCATGATGTGAAAGAAAATGGTGCTTTAGTTGCTGAATCTGGTAACGATGCATTGAATTCAGGCAATGTACTGAAAGAAAATTCATTTCGGAATGGACTAAGTGTGGTTTTGAATGATATGAATTTGGGAAACCAAATTCATGTTGATGAAACCTGCAGTAGTTTGTCTTCTGATAGAAATAAGAGATCAGCTACTAGAGAAAGGATGGTTGATGAGGGAACAAAAATTCCAGGAGAACATTCTGAATGTGAAACTAATAAACATAAAGATGTTTCTCTCAGGGAGAAGGAATATAAGTCAACAGAAAATTCCCCGCAATCTGGGCCTGTATCAAAGAAAAAGCGCAAAGCTGAGAAGAAAGATGGTAATGAAAATTCTTTAATAGAAAATGGTGTTTTGATTTCTGACTTCCTTAAACAACGCTCTGGACCCGATACTACAACCTCTAAGTCCACTTCAGGTACAAAACTGGAAGGTGCAAGGGCTATCTTAGACCATTTAAATACTGAATCTGTAAAACAAAACCATGTGTTGACTGCCAATGCAAGTGGTGGGAGGAAGAAAAGGAAAAGGCAAAAATCAAATTCTAGTCAAGTAGGTAGTGAAATCTCTTCTGCAAAAGATGTTTGTGTGGACGCTTTTCAGGCCATAGAAGCAATTAATCACAAAGATTTGGGCAGTGTAGCTGATCCAGAATTTGTTCTTGGAAAAATTTCTATGGGTGGAGCAATTTCTGAACCTTGTCCAACCTCTTCAACGGAAATGCAAGAAGTTAGCAAAACAAATAGAATGCCCCTCAGAAGGGGTAAGTTTCCATTTTTATGCAGTTATTTACATTTTTTCCCTTTCACTTCAACCTTAGTTTTTGTCTCCTCCATGATTAGTAGAATTGAGGCGAGAAGTTAACTTTTTCTAATAGTTATACTGACTTTTGTAGGTGATGATGATATCGCTGATGCTAATGATGGAAACATGGAAAGCCAAAATGAAGCACCTGAAACAGATGTTGTATCATTAGTAAAGAAAATAGATTCAATTGATCAGAATGCCAGCAATGTGGACAGCCATCCTAGACTTGTGTCCCAAGGGGGAATTAATCTCCAGAATGGCATTGGAGTTTCAGGCCATGAAAATCAGAGTGGTACATTGGAAGATAAAATTGTGGAATTTAAGAAGTCTTCCAAGAAAATAAAGAAGTCTAAAAAGACGAAGGATCCGGTTGGAAGGACAGAAGCAGTGGAAGCAGTTGATGATAGAGGTCCTGCAAGTGATATATCTCCTGCAGAGTGTCCTACCTCTGTGAATGGTGACCATTTGAGTGATAATGCTGAGCAAAATGGCACAACTGATGGAAAAGAGGAATCAAAAATGAAAAATTCGAACTGTTTGCCTTCGGTTAGAGTTATGACAGCTGATGATGTGATTCGAGATGTGCTGGAGCCCTTGCAGCAAAGCAACAATGGTCCTGAAAATGCAGAAAATATGGACAAGAAATCAAGGAAGAAAACTAAGAAGAAAAGTTCTACTGTGGTGGGACCCCCGGAATTGCAAGGAAGAGATGATGTTGGTCACCGGGATCCAACAGTCCTGGCTGATGATGTGAGTGAGGTGAGTGCATCATCTAAATCTGCAAAGAAGACTGTGAAGGTGAATGCAAGTTCAGCAGTGTAACTGAATGAATCAGATTTGGGATATAAGGATAATACAGGGGTTGGAATTAGCCCTGTCCACGCACAGCTTGCCTCATCCCAAAATACACTTAAATCCAATCATGATGGAAAGCCAATTCAAGATGTCATCGATGTAGATCACCCTAAAAGCGTCTGTGTAAATAATGCTAATTACAGCTTAGAAGTTCCTGGTGAAAGTGAAAGTGTCAAAAGCCAACAACAGCATGAAGTTGTTGATTCTGGTGAGACACTCATTGATAAGGTGACTGAGAAAAAAGCAGTGGAAACCGAGGTGAAAGGAAAAAAAGAAGAAGAAGCCTGAAGTACAGTCAGGTGGATCCAGACCTGATTTACCATCTTCAGAGATGTTAAATGGGAATCAACATAAGCAAGCAAAACCTCAAGCTGCCAAATCTAGCTCCATTCAACCTCAAAGATCATCATCGAAGATTGAATCACTTAACTCCAATGTTCAATCAAGTAGACCAATTTCGACCATTTCTGAAAGTGTGGCAAGAGAACCTCTGCAATCTAATAAATCTGACAAAATCAATTCCATTCCTAAAGATGCTCAAAGGCCCATTGGCATCAATTCTTCAAGGGCGCATATCAATTTAGAGAAAAACATTGCTCGTTCTGTATCAAGCTCTGCCTTGGAAAGATAAAAAAACACCATTAATCTAAATAAAGTTAATCAGCATCGATCTCATCTGGATATTGCAAAAGCTACTGGAAGTAATCGTGGGAAAGTTGTGAACAGCTTGGCAAATAAGAAGAGTTTACTGGCTACAGCAGGTACAATATTTAAGCACAGTGATAAGGAGAGCTCTGATGATGAAGATGGAGCAGACAACTCAGATACCAACACCAAAACTCCATCAGATAGTTTATCATCATCTGACTATTCAGACGATGGTCAGGTGAACAATAGTTCATCACCAAATGGTAATTCATTTTTTTTATCACTGATTTATTAGATCTGAACAAAGTCGATTATATCATGACTGTTAGTTTGCAGAATGCATTTTATTTCATTGTGCCTTGACAATTTTTCAATAAAATGAACAAGTGTGTCAAATTTTATCTTTTTCTTTCAG